GGCCTCTGTTACTCCTACTCCACCTTCTGTTGTGCGAGCACTACCATCCATCCCCTCTCAAAGTTAATCAGCTCTCTTACACCTGAATTTCTACAACAAATCATACAAGCTCTCCATGTTTCTGGTTTTAGTAAGTCTGAGTTGCAAACTTGGCATTAACTTCTAGTGCTTCCAATCATATGATGGGCAACTTGACATCTTTGAAACAAGTTGTTCCATATAAGGGCACCCAGAGTGTTCATATTGCAAATGGTCAGTCACTTCCTGTAGAAAAAGTTGGTACATTGCTCATTAAACCTCCTAACTCTCCTCCTTTTATATCTTTCTAATGCTTTATATGCACCTAATTTACCAACCAATCTAATTTTTGTTGGTCAACTTGTCAAAAAAAATGGTATTGTCTATTTTTCCACTTCTGGTTGCTTGAAATAGGACCTGCGGACCGAGAAGGTGATTGGGAAAGGCCATTAGAAAGAGGAACTCTTTGTCATGGACTGCGCAACTGAGTCATCCTCTACTCAGTGTTTTTTTGCTCCTTGTCTCTGAAATAAATTCTGCAAATAAACTTTGGAGGCTCTGGCATTATCGTTTGGGTCATCCTCATAATTTGAATTTGACTTCATTATTTTCTTCGGGTGTGTTATTTACTAAAATTGATATCAAGACTGTGCTAGATAAATCATGTGCAGATTGTCTTCGTGCCAAAGCTGTGACATTTACCTTTCAGTTCTAATGAGAGTCGTGTCGTTTTTGCCTTTGATTTAATTCATAGTGATGTATGGGGACCAGCACCCGTTGCTTCCTTAACTGAAAAATATTATTTCATTTCTTTTATAGATGATTGGTCAAGATATTCTTGGATATACCTTTTGCATCGGAAGTCTGAGTTTTCAAAGGTGTTTAGGAAATTTCATGCAATGATGGTCACCCAATTTAACACGAGGGTGAAAATTCTGCGCACAACTCAGGGGGAGAATATATGTCAAAGGAATTCCATGATTTCTGGGCTAAAGAAGGCAGTCTACATCAACGAAGATGTCCTCATACACCACAACAAAATGGTGTTACAGAAAGAAAGAACAGACACATTCAATAAATAGCCAGGGCACTTCTTCTTCATACAAGTATGACTAAAGTATTTGGGCACAAGCCTTCTTAACTGGAGTATATTTAATTAATAGATTGCCCACTCCTGTATAATATTTCACGACTTGAAAAATTATTTGGGCATCAACCTAATTACTCTTTACTTAGAATTTTTGGATGCACATGTTTTGTTCTCTTACCTTCGACTGATAAAGCTAGATGCAAGGCCTGTCAAATGCATGTTTCTCGGATATGGGGAGACACAAAAAGGATATTGGTGCTATGATTAGGAAGCTAAGAAATTGAGAATATCCCAAAATGTGATATTTTTAAAAAATGTTCCATATTTTTCTAAAAATGTGTGTTCATCTCAATCATTGTCCTTGACTCCATCATCCACTACTTCCATCTTGTCTTTATTTCCTAACCCTTTACAGCAATTTGAACAATAGACTAGAGCTTCTCCAATTACGCCTTCACCACCACCACAGGAAACAAGTATTGTACCTACTCCAACTCCTCCCCCTTCCATTGCTAGTTCTTAGAAACAGGCAGCAGATAGTGCAGAGTGGAGTCAAGTAATGCAGACTGAAATTGAGGCATTGGAAGCTAACTACACCTGAGATTTGGTCCCGCTTCCCAAAGGTCATACTGTGGTCAGTAGCAAATGGATTTATACTGTCAAACTTAAGTCGGATGGCACATTGGATCAATACATAGCTAGACTTGTCGCAAAAGGTTACAATCAAGAGCATGGCCTCGACTATGATAAGCACCAGTTGCTAAAATGGCCATTGTCCGAACTTTGATTGTTGTTGCTACCAAACAAAATTGGGATATAATCCAGATGGACATCAAAAAAGCCTTTCTACATGGGGATCTATCTGAAACCATGTATATGAGACCGCCACCAGAGTACCCTACTTTGTCTACTTATATATGGTGCATAAATTACTAAAAGCAATCTATGAGTTGAAACAAGCACCTCGGGCATGGTTTGCAAAGCTAAAGAATACTCTTCAGTGTGCAAGATACCGTCAAAATAGCAATGACTACTCCTTGTTTAGTTCCTCCTCTTCTAGCGACCGTGTCTTTGTCTTAATTTATATCAATGATATCTTAATTACAAGAGATGATAATCACAGTCTACAAGCCTTGAACAAAGTCCTCCAAATTCTTTCCAGATGAAGGACTTGGGTCACACTTCATATTTCTTAGGACTTGAAATCTCCCAATCACTGGAAGGCTATATACTTAGTCAAAGAAAATACACCAAGGACCTCATAGCATTGGTAGGATTCACTGATGAAAGAAGGTAGACACACCATTGGAGATGAATGTCAAATATAGAAAGACTGATGACGACCCAATCATTGATCCAACAATGTATAGGAGGATTTTCAGTAGCTTAGCCTATCCTACTATGACACAACTCAATATAGCCCATGCAGTTCAGCTTGTCAGTCAGTTTGTTTCAGATCCTTGCAAATCTCATCTTACTGTTGTTCATCGAATTATTCGTTACCTCCGATCCACACCTGACATCGCCCTTTCATAGGATAGATCTTTGTCCTTGACCTTAAGAGCATATTCTATTGCTGATTTCACCGGCTGTCCAGATACACATAGTTCCACTACTAGCTATTGTGTCTTTCTCAGGACATCCCTGATTTCGTGGAAATCCAAGAAACAACCAACAGTGTCAAAGTCTTATACTGAATTAGAATATCGGGCTATGTCTTCTGCATGTGGTGAAATTATCTGGCTCAGACGACTAGTTACAGATTTTGGTATCATTTTGAATTCTCCAACCCCATTGTTTTGCGACAATTAAAGCGCAATAAAAATTGCTAGCAGCTCAATTTTCCATGAACAAACTAAGCATATTGAGATAAATTGCCATTTTGTTCGAGAAAAGTTTGAACACGAAGAAATCACACTACCTCATGTTCCTTCCAAGGATTAGATTGTTAATACTTTCACTAAGTCCTTGACTAGAGGGCGCCATGATTATTTGGTGAACGAATGGATGTTGATCATACACATTAGTTTGAGTGGGAGTGTTAGAAAATACATCATAGATAAGCATTGCAAATATTTGGGTATCTTTTTTTGTTGAATAGGATAAGGTTGTAACAACTCTACTTATCTTTAGTTCCTTGTTTGTATCCTCCAACGCGTACATACGCGTCCAAAAAGTGTTGTATAAATATATGGGGTTTTCCCAAAGTAATACACAAGAAAAATTCAATTATTCATTGGTTGACAAATTTCCCTAAATTGTTATATTCAAATATATAATACAGACCATACTGTATGCTAGTGTTTTAAAACCTAGAATATGCCATTCACCCTCCAATCCTGATCTAGATAGATGACTCCTGATCCAGATCAGTGATTTTTAAAACACGGGTATATGGTATATACTACCATACTATAGTAAACTGCTAGATTATAATACACTGTTATAGCATACTATTATACTATATAACATTTCTATAGTATAATATAATACTAGGCTATCTGGATTGTGTAATTCAAGGTATTGTTGCTTAGTAGGAACAATCAAAATTCATAACTTTAAATGTTGTAGAGAATCGAGATTCCCTTCCCCGGAGCACAAGAGCGAGATCCAAGAGCAGAATCAACCCTTGATTGGAAGATCCTGGTAACTATGATTGGCTAAAAGAGAGATGTGCAGCAAAAAACGAATTCAGGGCCAAAATCAGGTTTGCCAATATGCAAATGTATGCCCCAAAACATAGATGCACACCCATAATGTAGTTTGGCCCAAAGAGCAAAGCAAAAAGACTAGAACACAGTTTAGCAAAATTGTAGATGTGCATGCACAATAGATGCGTAGCAAGAACACAGCTTGCCCAAAACACGATGCTTGTCCCAAATCACAAAAGCATGGTTATAATGCAGTCAGGCAAAAATAGCGTCCTCCAAAACATAAGTGTGGGCATACCATAATGGGGGACAAAAATGGATATTAAAAACATTGGTTTCATCAAAATAGGCCATCGCTAAAGGTGTGTGTCTTGTCAGCATGTTTTAAATGGGACCCATTCTAGGTGTCAATGACCTTAGAACAAAATAGCACAGGTCAGTAAGCGTCGAGTGCACGCCAATTCACTCAGACCCAAAAGGTCTCAAATTCTCTTGTTCAAGTTCCTTTGAGTTCATCCCATCAAACATGGCGGCACAGTGAATCTAAAGGGTCCGATCTGGTATAATAAGACCTGGAATTACGGATGTTAATTAAGTTGTTAACTATATAGTCTAAAGCTTAACAGAATTATTGTCTCTACACATGGAGATCGAAGGGGAGAAACTCAGAGAGAGCAAGGAGGGGCTTGGAGTAGAAGAGCTTCAACTCCTGTCGAGATCGGTTCAACCTGGGTACAAAACAAGGAGGATAGAGCCCTTCTTATAAAAGGGAAAGCTTTCCATGTGTCCTTGTCCACATATATCCACAAATGTCCAGGGACTCAGCAGATGTTCGATTTTAACGAACGTCTAGGAATGCTCCGGACTAAATGTCACAAAGCATAATGCAAAGCTGGGAACCGGCTACAACCCGGTAACAGCATAACGCAGTGATACCCAAAAAGTGTAATCCATCAATGCACATATTCTTAACGACTGTAACCAGGGTAACCAAAAGACAAATCCAGCATCCATCTCAAACCAAAAATTTAATAGTTCAGCAATAGCGTACAAATTACAGTATTGAAATCAAAATAATCAGAATTTTCATGAAAATTCCCCAAAATAGCTCCAATTTATAATTTTGTTTATACAATAAAAAATTAAAGCCGTAAAATTCACTAACACTATGGTTCCAATTTGTATAGTCTCATATAAAAAGAAAAGTAAGCTTTAATAGCTTGGGGGGAGAGAGAGGGTACCAAGAGGATGAGGAGTGGAGCATCCAATGGAAGCTTGTCGCGGTCGCCCGCGGGCCAGTCGAGGGCAATGCTGCCCCCGTCGCTTGTGCGGAGGCACTCGCGCCTGTATACAATATGGGGAAGCGAGCGGAAGAAGGCGGCAAAGATGGTCTCCAGGTGCCTGTTTGCGCAGATGAGAGGAAAAGGTCCGTAGGGTTTTCTGAGGCTTTGGAAAGAGGAGAGAAGGGAGCTGCGCGCGCCCATCACCTCAAGCGTGCCCGCGCCTATGCTCGCCAGTGCAGGAGCCAGCGGTGCCATACAGGGGCAGCTGCTGCTGTGCCCAATTCCAATGTTTTAGAGAGAGAGATCGTTTATGGGAGGCAAAAGTAGGAGAGAGTGATCCAGAGAATGTTTACGGAGGAGGGAAAGTAGTGGTCACAGAAGGAGATATTCTCCCCTCACCCAACTCCTCAGCCAATTCCCAATATTCTCCTCTCACCCAACTCCTCAGCCAATTCCCATTTGTTCTTGGAAAATGGCTTGATAGGGCCGCAGCCCTATCAAAGTAAATACACCCTTGCCTCAAAATTAATCCAAAGTTACAATTCAAGCACCACAAAACCTTTACATCTCAGCATTATGGTAGTGAAAAAAATTATAATTTTAAGTTTTAAAAATAGTGCATATTGTAATAAATTATCTAAGATGCCCATTTCACTCAAAAATATGTATTCACAAGATCTATACTAATTTTAAAATTTTATATTTTATTGTTGGTGTTGAAAATTAATTTTAAAACAAGATTTTCTACACCATTTTCCGGATGAAGATTTGAGGTGAGGTTTTATTTTGTTTTTACAAAACCTAAGCCTACTCCCCCGAGCCCACCACTTTATTTCATGGGAAAGTATACTGTCCACGTCACGCGGACGGGTGGGAGGGTGCGATTTCACAAACTGGTATCAATGGCTAAAATTTAATTTTAATATTTTATTTTTATTTTTTATTTAAATAAATATTTCTGTAAATTTTGGGCTGTAGTTTCTTTTTTATAAATCTAATTAAATAAAAATAATTAAAGGGATATAAAGAAATTTCTTAATTTACTCTTATGGTAAGAATTGATTTGATGGCTCGGACAAACAATGAAAATTAAAAAAAACAGCATTCTTATTCGAATTACCTCGTCATCTTCAACCAATGCTTCAATATAATTACATGGAGTAAGCGCTATAGCTTGTTTCTAATACTCAGCTGCTTCATTGGACTTTCAAATTCCCTCGTCATCTTCAACTAATTTTGTGTTTCGATATAATTATCTAGAATAAGCGCTGTAGCTTGTTTCTAATACTCAACTACTCCATCGGATCAAGTCTATTCAATTTCAAAATCTCCTTGTCAGACATCCTATTCTTCCAGGTGGGGATAGGCCAACTCTTTTGGCCTTCTGTCTTAACCTACTGTATCTAATTAAATGAGATTTCTCATAAATCTATCTCATTTTTTTTTTGAATTAACCAAATAACCAAAAGAGATTAACTACATTATTTTCAAACTCAAATTTTCATCAATCAAATAATCAGCTTTATCTCTTCTTCTACCTTTAAATAAAAATAACTAAAACTCCTTTAAATTTATTTTGTCAATATTTTTTTATTATTTGTATTCAATTCTAATTATAAAAATAAAATTAAAATTGAAAATTCCCATTAATATCATTTTAAATTTAAAAATAAAATTCATTTATGACCTTTGAATGAGGCTAATTTAATCTGAGCCTTAAGTGTCCACAGCTTGTGCATGCAATAACATCCCTTATTTTATTTTATTATGGCTACCTGATGGGTCTCTTTTTTGTTTGTTTTTTTTTCTCCTAATAAGTTATCAATACTTTTTGGTTGCAATTTGTATAAGAGTAAAGCATCACTTTGAAACGCCATCACAAAACGACCTTGCGCATAGAAAATCCCCATCTATTTCTACTACTGATTATAAAATTTGTCTGAAGAGTCTCAAGATTCTATTAAGAGACTCAGTGTCTATTGATCAATATAAATATACAAGATTATCTTAAATAGATAAGTATAAATGACAATAATATAAATAAATAAATCATAAATACATATACTATACTCAGACTTACCATATACTACAAGATATTTGCCCTACCCTTTCCATATATATTTTGATTACAATATACACATTTCATATTAACCTAGTACACAATATATGCTTTCCTTTCATACTCCCCCTCTAACTCAAGATGCTATGAGAGAGAGTAATTGGAGTTTAAACACTAAGTTGTAAAAACAAGCAATTAAACCTTGAGGTGCATAGTGTGACCAGTAAAATCAGAGGTTGCAAGCTCAAATTTCTTGATCAACAAGTACAGAGAAACAACAGAAAAAGGCTTACTAAGAAACGACGGATCAACAAGCATAAAAAACAGAAGGCTCGAATAAAGTAGGCTTGAGCAACAAACAAAACTGCAAATCTTCTCCAAATACAGAAAAATAGTTACGTCAGCCGATTAAACATAATGGCACTTGGAAGTACCAACAAAACTCAGTGCATATTCATGATCGATTTAGCTGCTCATAGATAAATAGATATAATTGAATAACATAACAACAAACTCTATCATGTAGAAAAGAACATGAACGAGTAAGAGATTTGATTTTACATATATGGACACAGCAAAGATGAATCTGGCTCTGATACTACGTGAAGAGGGTACCATTTTATATATGTTATTACAATATTTTGTCAACATTTAAAAAATGACCTAAATGCCCTTTCTAGATTTTCTAGATCTGAAATTTATATTTGTCGAAACTAAGAAAATTTGAATTTTTTAGATTCTCAAAATCTTAAAATTTTATATTTTTGGATTTTTAAAATCCATTGAAAATTTTGGATGTTCAATATCCTAAAACTTTCATTTTAGTGTCCCTTAAAAATTTTGGATTTTGAAAATCCGAAATTATTTGAAAATTAAATTTTTGGATTTTGGAAATCCAAAAAAATGCAAAATCCCAAAACTGCACCTTTTGGATTTTCAAAATCAAAAATTTTCATTTTTAGTGTCCAACATTTTTGGATTTTGAAAATCCAAAATTTATTTTAAATTTAATTTTTTTATTTTTCAAAATCCAAAATTTGCAATTTTGGATATTGAAAATCCACATTTTTTGAGGAAAAAATTATTAAAAAAAAGAGTCAGAACTACCTTTCAAGCAATGTTGTCAGATTTGTTTCGGAGTCTTCTTCGATTTGATGAGAAAAATGAAGCAATTCGGTGTTTCGAACAATTCGAGGGAATACTTCAGACTTTTTAAAAAATAATTTAGATACTTATATAAAAATAATGAAATTTAAAATAAAATTTCAAATATATATATATGAAAATTTCTTTGCGTAGGCTGAAGTAGACCCAAAGTGGCGTGAAGTGGCTGGAATCTGACCGAAGTGATAACACGAAGCTTCGCTTCGGTCTACGCCTAAATCCAAAAGCTTCGGCCTATTCGGCTAAAGTGAAGCGAATTTGACAACACTGCTTTCAAGACCCAAAAATCTATTATTTCATATCTTTAAGGTCCAGATATTTATTTATTTTTTTTTTTTTTCGGATCCTAAGGATTCGGAAGTACGCCAATTTTGAAAAAATTTGAATGTAATAAGTGAAAGTTTAGATGATATTATAATTACACTGATTTTAAAATTAAATTCATTAGGGCATTTCAGTCTATTTAAGAAAGAGTTAAGAGTAGTCTTGTCCAATCACCTAAAATTGGGAGATATAGGACATGTTTGATAAGTGGGAGTAAAACGTCTCACTTCCATATTTGATATTATCGTGCGGAAGCTTAAAAGTGGAAGGGCGGCCTTCCACGTTACTCTTTTTTAGTGTTAAAATGAGTTCATTTTTGGAAGACCTCCCTTCCTTCAAAAGTGATGGAAGAATCTTCTTCCATGATTTGTGGTACAGTTTGTTCCACTCCCAAAAACACCACGTGTCAAATGTACCTATAGGCCCACGGCAAATTCATGCACCCTAAAATCCGCTCTTCTCATAAACGCTACTCTCCTATCTCTCTCCATTTAACAATCTCTCTCTAGTTAAACATAGGAAAAATTATAGATACCTTCCCAATTTCAGCTTTCCACACATCCTACTCCCATTAATTTTTGTATTATACCCTAAATCTCAACACTATTTTTTTTATATTATACCCTAAATCTCAGCACTATTTTTTTTATACTCCAGCCAAATAGTCAATAAAATTTAAGACCAAAATGCACTTTGTTCTTTCTCTTCCCGCTTTTGAAAAGATTGTTCATACTAATTTATCTCAAAATGTACTCTCTCAACCTCTCTCTCCATATCTCTCCCATTCTCTCTATTTACCCACCCACTCTCTCACATTTTCTCTATCCATTCTCTCTCTTTCTCTCTCTATCTATTCTCTCTCTACCCACCGTCACTCTCATTCTCTCTCTACACCAAATGATACAAGGCTTGAAAATACAGTCCGGCACAATTGGTGCCAAAGCGAAAAAAACCATGACTTTCCACAAGTGTTAGACCGCAAAAAAAAATTCTCCATAAGTTTTATGTCTAAAAAATGCAGTCCGGCACAAAATGTGCTAGACCGCAAAAAAAGAATTTCGGTACGCCACAAAGTGTGCCGGACCAGTAACTTTCCAGAAGCTTTATGGCTAAAAATACGTCCGACAAAAAATCTGCTAGACCATAAAAAAGGGCAAGTATAGAGAAAGAGTTTGAGAGAGAGTATAAAATAATAAGTTGGGAAAAGAGAGAAAAAATGGCATTTTGTTAAAAAAGAATAAAAATAACAATAACAAATAGTTTGACTATTTGACTGGGGGTAGATTAAGGCACTTAATAGGGAACTCAACATAAAGATTAATGCACTTAACAGGGAATTCACAGAGAAAGATCAAAGGATGAAACTCCTAGCAGAGTTAGCCAATGTGCTTTTAAGTAAAGAACATGACTCAGAGAGAAAGCAACGAGCATTTCCTATAAAGGCACACAAAAACTACTTAGCTTGTCAAGAAGAAATAAACAAGATGAAATGCGTTGTGATGATGATGATGAAAGATATTGAAGAAAACAATATCCTAGCATTTTACCTGGCAGTGAAAGAACCAGTCGAGGAGTTAAAGTAGAAAGAAAGCGAAATGCAAAGTTTGGAAGAGCTAAACCATATTCTTTTAAGAAGGGAAAGAGAAGCAAATGATGAGCTGCAAGCAGCTCGTAAAGCCGCAGTTGAAGTATAGTCCTACAACTTTTTTGAAAAAATATAACCCCCAAAATTAAGATTTATATGTTTTGAAAGACAATTACAGACAGGTATACTTGTAATTGCACAGGTATATTTTGGAGTACCCACAATTCTTCATGATTTCTTTCGATGTATAACCATCTTTTGTCAAATTTTATTTTCTGGTGGTTGTAACTTCTGAAGCTGACATATATCCA